CAGGTGCCCCTCACGTGCCCGCACACAGAACAGGGCCCCTCTCCACACTTAGGTGGCAGCTTGACCTGCCTAACAGCTCATCATAAACACTTCCCGTCACTCAGTCGGGAGCTGTATCTGGACCCTTATCACAGCAGCTTGATGCGAAGGACTCTCAGCTCCACCATTAAATTATTTCCCTGCTCCGAACCTCAGTTTCCCCATCAGTGAAATGGGACACAATCCATGGAGCAAACCGTCCCCAGGGGCCAAGGGAAGGTGCCCGGCTGGAGCACCCCTTCTAGGCCATGCTTGAGTGCCCTGGAATTCCCTCTCAAGCCCACCACTAGAGTCTGCCCTCCTGAGAGCTGGCCTCACTGTTGGGAGGCAGTCCCGGGGCCAAGGGGGCATCCTTTCTTGGAGCTGGGATATGAGGGCTGGGGTCTCCACATGTGAAACCAGGAGGCCCCTTGTGGTACAGGATGGAGTGGGAAGAGAGGGGCCACCTGCTCCCACGCCTCCACAACCCAGCACAGATCTCTGAAATTTTAAATTCAGAGCCAGCCTGCCAGGTTGTTATGCAGGTGTGTTTGTCAAGGTGGGAGGGCAGAAGGTATTGTATTTAGCAATTCCTTAGCTTGATTTATAACTGGAATATTTAGACATATGGCACATGGGCCTCCGTTTCTGCTCTTATAACACTGTGCCCATGACTGGCTTCCTCGGTTCCCATCCCTGGTACCAGCTTGCCTGCATCCTCTCCCTTGAGGCTCTGACCCTCTGACCCCAGCCAAGACCCGAGAATTCTCCTGGCGCCAGGATCAGATGCAGAAGCTGATGCCATCTGCCAGAGTCACCTTTCATTACCAGCTCTGCTGGGTGGGGCGGGGGTTGGGGAAGAGGTCCTCTGGCCCCTGCTGGGCCACGAGTCTAGCTACAGGCATGGCTCAGCTTGTGGCAGGTGCATGCTCTGAGCAGCGTGTCTGCCCTGCAGGCAGCAACTCGGGCTCTCTGGGTGGGGGTGGCTGTCCAGGGGCCACTAGCACCTCCCCAACCTTCCTGGTCTCACTGTGGCCTCTGCTCCTTGGGCCTTTGCTCAGGTGGGACTTGCACCTAGAGCAGGTTCACTCATTTGCCTGACCAAGACCTATGTTTACTTGGGTCCAGATTTAAGTGCTCGGATGCCCTCTCTGGCCCCCGATGACTCCCGTCCCTTCAACGCCAAGCTCCTCGTGCCCTTCTTCAAACACGCAACAAAAGAGCTCTTTGTGTGATTTAGCGTCTGTCTGTCCCGCTCAGCTGTGAGCCCCCTTGAGAGCAGGGATAGGTCCGGCTTGTTCACAGCCGTATCCTCAGGGCCTGGCACGCTGCAAGTGCCAAGGAGATGTCAGCTCTCTCTGCCCGCTCCGGTCAGTGACTTCTAAACTATGATGTCTCCGTTTATCCCCTACTCCTCTTTGGCCTCAGTCTCAAAATCTGGGAAATGGGACCACTATGGTGTATCCAAAAATGTTCAGAGGAAGAGACAGAGCTGAGTAGTGGGGATGGGCTGTCCCCCATGGGAAGGGCTGAGGCCAAGCATGAGAGGGGCCCTCAGAGGCCAGAGACCAACACCAGGCCATGCCGGGGTGGGAATGTGGAGGAAGGACAAGAGGACTAGCAGGAGGCAGGGAGCCCGAGCGGGGTAGCCAGCGTCACCGCGTCACCAGGGAAACCCAAAACCTTGCCTCCCAGGCTGCCCCTGGGGCTCTGGGCAGAGGCTCACTCACCAGCCCCTTGCCTCACCCTGGATAGAGAAGATCCCTCACCTCTCGCCCCACCCTGGCCCAGGCAGGAACAGAACTGGCCTATCTTCTGTGCCAGGCCTTCCTTAGAGTGCTTTGCAGGCATAATCTCAACACTCACCACATCCCATCAGATGAGGAAATAGTAGCTGAGTGGGGTTCAGCTCCTAAGTGGCACAGCTGAGATACAAACCCATCTGATTCCAGAGCCTGAGTTCTCAGCCCCTCTGCCACATTCCGACTGGCCTTGGCCTCCCCAGGGGCCAAGCAGGCAGGGAGGGTGGGCTCTGCCGTATTGTCAACCTGCCTGGGCACCAGAGTGAACGGCTGGGGTGCTGGGGCCTGGATGCTTGTCCCAGGACACCCCACTCTTGGAGCTTGATGAGTATTATGGGGAGGGGTAAGCAGCTGGGGTCAGACAAAGCAAAGCCTGGAGCACCAGGCATCTGCTCATGAGCTTCTGGGGTGTTTAGGGTCCCACGCACACTCCTCTATCTGCACGTACCCCCAGGATGATCTCATCTACTCTACAAGGACGAATTCCAAATTTATATTCTCAGCCCGCCTTCCCCGTGCTCCAGACTTGCATTCCCACACTGCCCACCCCACATCTCAGACTCAACATGTTCAAAACCAAACTCTGGATCTTACCCCCGCCCCCAAACCTGCTCCTCCCACGCGCTGTTAGGGCAGCAACACCCAGCCAGGGTCAACGACGCTGAAGTCATCCTTGATCCCGCTTTGCTCACCCCCCACATCTCATCCACTAGCAAGTCTTGTGGGACCTTCCTCAAAATATGTCCTAAACCCCACCCTTCTCCTTGTCTCCACGGCTAAAGCCTGGTCCAGTCCCGTCACCTCTTGCCCACCCCAGCAGCCTCCTCACCTGTCTCCTGCCCCCTCTTGACCTTCTCCCTAAGTCACATACTTGCTGGAATCAGCTCAAGTCATTCCACTACTTAAAACCTTCTGATAATAATGAAAACAAACCCAACTCCTCACCCTAGTCTAAGGACCTTGTAGTTCTAGCCCCCGCCTGCCTCTCTGATGCCATGTCCCCAGTGGTCCCCAAACACCAGCCACAGTGGCTGCTTTCTGTTCTTCAGACACACCAAGGCCTTTGCATTTGCTGTTCCCTTGGCCTATAATGTCTCCTCGACTTGTCACATGGCTTCTCATCCCTTAGTTCTCATCTCAGATACCACCCTGTCCTAGAGACCTTCTCTGACCTCCCTGTGGAAAGCAGCCCTTCTCCCCTCCCTGGCATTGACCACGTTCTCCAGGCATCTGCTTCACACACATTCTCCTGGGTTCACTCTTTCAGAGTTTTCCCTCAGCAGTGCAGAGCTTTTGTATTTTCTACCATAGAATCCCCAGCGCTGAGACACTGTGGACACTTCGTGAACGTTTGCTGAAATGACTGAATGAATCAGCCTCAGTGTTCCCTCTGTAAAAGGGGGATGAAGAAATAGCATAAACCAGACAAGTCCTAGCAGGGTCCTGGGCAGCTGCTGGGCACCTCCATGGCAGAGCTGACAACAGGGTCCTCCTGGGTGCGCAGGAGCCCAGGCCGTCCTACAGCTGCCTCTGCTTCCTCTGATGCATTTTTCCACTTCCTCTCCATGGAGGACTGACTCCTGGGAAGCCCCAGAAGGCTGAGTGGCTGTTACCATGCTCACCGGCCTGGGGACTGGGGACTCAGCCCTAGGTGGAGAGGTCAGGAGCCCATGAGGGAGCAGGCAGGGCTGGCTGGGGGCCCCACGGAACCTCGGTTTTCTGCCTGCTCTACCCTGGGCCTGCATCTGGACACCCGGTGCATCCTCTCATCCTCTCGCAGGGCCACAGGCAAAGAGCACTGGGATTCGGAGGGCAGCGCGAGGCACTGGGCCTCCTGGGCCAGAGTCCACATCCTGCACCATCGCTCGACAAGCAAACAGTTGCCGAAGTCAGCTGTGGCCGGGCTGGCCTGCTGTGCTGCCTACATACTGGCACCTCTCTCTCTTGGACGGTGAACTCCAAAAGGGCAGGCAGGGGTCAGGTCTGTCCTGGCACACGCAGGCCCCCAAATCTAACCGACTATCAACACCCCCCTTGTGTTTATAAAAGGGCTTTTATACCCATGGGTTCATTGGAGCCCCACAGCCACCGTTTCAGGAAGGTAGGGCAGCAGCTATCATTTTTCCCATCCTACAGATGGGGAAAATGGAGGCCATACTCTTCCACGTCCCTGTGCTCAGTGCAGGGCTTGGCTCTCAGAGGCTGTGCAAGGTCGAGACTAGGAACCTGAGCTTTGGAGTCTAATAGGCACTGTCTATGTGACCTTGGGTAAGGCATCTAACCTCAAGGTCTAGTTTCCTCATCTGCAGGATGGGCACCATGGTACCTGCCTCGTGGGGCTGTTGTGAGCCATCCTGTGAAGCATGGTGTGGGCATATGGAAAGGGCTCAGTAGATGGGAGCTGAAGTCACCTTCCCCTCCAGCTCCGGCCCAGAGCACACAGCCTGGCACAGAGCAGGCATTCAGCAAATATTCAACGGATGAAAGGTAGGAATATGACTTGTATACTGTAAAGTGTACATGAGTGCCATTTAAAGCGCTAAGGCCTCAGGGCTTGGCTTTATTGTCCCCAGGGTCCCTCCATCCCCACCCCCTCATTCTGACTGCTGGCCCATCTGTGTGTCTCTTGCCTGTGTCTCTGCAGCTCTGGGGTCACGTGAGCGGGAGGGTTCTTTGGGAGCCTTCCCCTGCCCCCCAGAGACAGACGGTCTCCCCCTCTGCTGACCAGATGGGCCCAGCCACCCCCACGGTGGCTTTCCAACATCCCACAGATATATCACTTCAGTCAGGACCCTCTCCTCTCCCCCCTACAGTTAGCACTGGGCTTCCCAGGTCATTGCGGGGTGGGGGGCAGAAACAACCATCCAGTCCAACTGTCCATATTAGAGATGGGAAACTGAAGATCAGAGAAGGCAAGTGACTGGCCTGAGGTTTCACAGCAAAACTTGATTTGGACCCAGGATGTCTCTCCCCAGAACTGCTGTCCCTCAGAGGGAGGGGCCTCTGCCTCCCTCTCCCACATTGCCTGTCACTTCCTTAGTCATGAAGGTCATTGGAAGAAAGCTAGGTTTTCTGAAGGTGAGGGAGAGAGATGACAGAGTGGGGAGGTCAGTGTCAATTCTCCTGCCTCCAACCTCAGTCTGCCCAGCCCCCACCCAGCCTCCAGCACCAGGAGAGCGCCATCCTCTCTCCTCCTTCTCAGCACCCCAAAAAGCCATCTCTGCCCCTATAAGCCAGGACCTTTTGTCTTTGTGGTTGCCCCCCTCTCCCCGCCACCTGGCCCTTCCAGCGCCTTGTGGGATCAAAGGCGGGAGGAGGATTAGGTTCTGCAAATGGCTCCCCCCCTCCCCGCCATCCTGCCTCCCTGTCTTAGTCATCTCTGCCCTCCGCCGCCTTCTCCCTCCATTACAATCCCTTTGCCAGGCCAAGGGGAGAACGACATTGACAGACGCCCTCCACCCAGGGGTGGCGGCAGAGCAAGGGGCCGGCTGCTCAGAAAAGGATCAGAAGCTGTTTCTCCCCCACCCCCCTTCCCTTCCTCATCCTGCAGCCCGCGCCTCCCCCCACGGCCGCGCTGCGCACGGATGGCGGCTGGAACCGCAGAGGTGTGTGTGTGAGAGCGGGTACCCTGGTCCTCGATACCCACAGGGCTATGTCCTCTCCCAGGGGCTGTGGGGGGTGTCCCCTGCCACTGTCCAGGAATTCCCATGGGGGGAGGGAGCTGTCCTCCGTAGAGCCGAGGGGTAGGGGGCACTACCCCAAGGGTGATGCTTCTCCAAGGGACTCCCGGAGGGAGTCGAAGGGAAGCGCTGAGTAATTCAGGCCCCTCGGTGCCCATGTGAGGTGTGGGGGAACAACCCTGTGCAAGGGTCTCCTGGCAGAGCGCTGTCTTCCCAAACGGATGGGGCGGAGGAGGGGGCGTGATACAGTAGCCGGTGGCCTGACGCCGTTTGTGGACAAGCTGGGGGGGGGGGCGCTGCTGCCTCTGAGGGGCTCTTGTGGAGGGGGAGGGCCGCCTCCCTCTGGCTGGAGGTGGGGGGCGGATGGTCGCGGGTGCAGCGCCAGGGGCTGTGAGGTCGCGGCGCCGTCGGGGCCGGGGGCGGAGGCTCAGGGGACCTAGGTGTAGGGAGTACGCGCTCCGGGAAGCGCCGCTCCTACCTGCCTACGAAATTCTCCAGCACCGAGCTCTTGCCCGCGCTCTGGCCGCCAACCACGGCGATCTGCGGCAGGTCGAGGTCCGCGTTCTGGCCGATGGCGGAGAAGGCGTCCTGCAGCCGGTTGACCAGCGGGATGAGATCTTCCATACCGCGGTTGCCCATGGCTGCGGCGGGCCCCGAGGGCTGCAATCCCGCCGCCGCTTCGGCTCCGGGCTCCGGCTCCGCCGCTGCAGCCGCGCGCTCCGACTGCCTGCGCCTCGGGCCCCCCGCCCCTCCAGGATTGGAGCGGAGCGCTGCCGCTGGCTGCCGCCAGAGGGCGCCCGCGGCGCTGCAGTCTGGCTGGCGTGCGCAGGCGCAGTCAGCAGCACTATGGGGATTGTAGTTTTCTCCTTCTGCGGGTTTTGGGGCGCTTGAGCCAGCGGTGTCTGGGGGATGTGGATAATGCACCGAAGATATCATTCCTAGAATGGGTGAGGGTCTCACACCCTAGTACCGGGCCTCTTGGATAGTGGTCATGGCTGCCTCACTTCATCTTACAAATAGGGAAACTGAGGCTGGAGAGACTATGGCATCCTCCAAGGTCACAGTCTCCTGACCCGGAGTTGCATTTGGCCTCACTGTCTTTTACTCTAGGTTCTCACACTAATTCATCTCCAGCATGTCCCTTTGGGCCTCACTTTCCCTGTTTCTAGAAGGAGAAATACAGAACATTAATTCAACAGACATTTACTGAGCACCTACTATGTGGTGGGCCTGTCCTAGGCACTGGAGATACAGCAGTGAACAAGACAGACAAGGTCTCGCATAGATCTACATCCAGGTGGCAGAGACAGACAGTAAATGATTGACTAAATAGATCAATGAAATAGCAAAAGTGGAAAAAGTTTATACTAAGAGCAATGGAGGAAATAAACAGGGGTTGTGAAAAGAGGTAACTGTATGGGTGTGAACAAGTCCACTTCAGCCTGGGAGGAGTCAGGGGGATTCTCTGAGGAGGTGACATTTGAGAAGAGACCTAAATGATGATAAGAAGCCAGCCACAGGCAGATCAGGCCCTATCCCAGGAGCCTGGCCTGGGCCTTAAACAAGCTGTATCATCCAGGTCCCACCATGCCTCTAAGCCTCAGTTACCTAGTCTGGGTAATGGGGATAACGATAGATCAGAAATGCCTGTAAAGGGCACTGCCCTGGCCTGGCGCTCAGGAGACTCGTATTAAACCGCTGCTTTGAGGATGCCGGTGATGACAGCCCTTGAGACAGCTGGAGCATGAGCTACGCACAACACACATCTTGAGCAGCTGCTTCAAGCCAGTCTTGTACAATATTATGCTCTGAGAACCTGCGAGGAAGCCTGAAGTAGAGTCATTAATTTGGGGGAAGGGGTGCAGTTTGCAGATGTCTACCTAGGGAGGTACCATCGTGGCTGGGTTGTTTTTTCTAGTTACGATAGTGAAACTTATTGTAAAAATCAGACTTTACTCAGTATTTGAAAGCTTCTGGTCATCCTCCCACCCAGAGATAATCAGTACTTACAGTTGAGTGTTTATTCTCTGGCTTTTTGCCTATACATTCATTTTGTTTTATTTTGTTTTTACAGAAGTGGGATCTTACTATATATCCTGTACTGCTGTATCACTGAAGCCAGACCAGCAGGCTGGTCATCACCTACTCAGAAATGCAGAATCTTAAGCTCCACTCGTGACCTGCTGGATCATAACCTGAATTTAGTAAGAACCAAGTGCCCCAGAAGATTCCTGGACACATCAAAGTTGGAGAAGCTCTGGTCTACCTTATTATATACAACTTGCTTTTTTAGTAACAGTATGTCTTTGACATATTTCAGTGTAAGAACCGACAGATCGGTCATGTTTCTTGTTCACGGCTGCATGTTTTCCGGCTTGGCAGTGCCCTGTTTTTGTTTCCTGGTCTGCTCGAAATGGATGTGCTGGGCTTGAAGAATGGATGAATAAAATGCCACTGTGGGGTGTAGAGAAGGGTTGATGTTCTGGACAAAAGGACCAGTATAAACAAAGCTATGGAATCAGAAAGGAAATGGACCTGAAATCTACCCTGGCCTCAGTTTCCCACAGATTTTGGTGAGTACTGAAGGAGTGCTACTGTAGACAGATCTCCACAGGCACTGAGAAGCTGGGGTCCCTGAGGGCCAATAAATTAAATGAATCTTAGAAACGGCTCTGACCCTCTCCTTTGAGCACCCAAGAGGGAGAATTCTCTCTGGACCTCCTGCAGCTTTAACCACCAATTGTGCTGGGCAATAGGATTCACTGGGCATTTCCTCTCTGCCAGGTTACTGTGCTGAGAGATTTAACCCTCAGGAGGGAGAACTATTTATTAGTTCCTTTTGACAAATGAGCAAATAGAGGCACAAAGGGGTTCATGAGTCTAAGATCACAAAGCCGGGAAGTGATGGAGTGAAGATGTGAGTGGAGCTTCCATGCTTTTATCCTACACTACACCAGCTCTTGTAACCTATATATATTTTAGTGCACATAAAACAGTAGCCCTTTCTGATAGGGTTTCTGTTGTGCATACAGTAGGTGCTGGTTGTATTGAATTGAACAGTGGCCTTATTATACAGCTCCTGGGTCAAGCCATTATACTTAGTCACTACGTATGATCAGGGTCTGGGCCCTTTGGGTTCATTTGTTCATTTATTCTTCAACAGGTTATTGATCAATGGCTCCTTCATGCCAGACCTCAAGCAAGACATAGAGGGATGAAGAGGTTAATAAGATGTGGGACATGTCCTTCTAGAATGTGGATTCACTGGGGAGAGAAAGACAAGCTAAGCAGACCAGGTGGACAGAGCAATGGCATCTGGCCCTGTCTGGGACACGGTCACTGCTGAGGAAGCAGCTGAGCCAGGCTAGGGCACACCCCCTCCTCTGCATGGCTAGGGGCTGGGCACCAAGATTTCCCAGGGGCTTTTGGGCACTGATGGACCAGGCATCTGTGCTTGCAGTGTCTCATCTTATAGTGAGGAGCTCCCCATGAGCCTGGAGCAAGGCAGGTGCCCTTGTGTGCTGATGGTTAGGTACATATGAGTCAAGGGCACAGCTGGAAAGCTGGACTGGCTTGTGTTCAAATACCACCTCTGCCACTTTCTAACCTGATGACCTTGGGCAAGTCACTTCACCTCCCTGACCCTCAGTTTCTTCATCGGTAAAAAGGGGGATAATATTACCTAACTTTTACATACAATGGAATATTACTTGACCATAAAAAAGAATGAACTCTTACCATTTGTGACAACAGGAATGGATTTAGAGGGTATTATGCTAAGTGAAATAAGTCAGACTGAGAAAGACAAATACCATATGATTTCACTTACAAGTAGAATCTAAAGAAAATAAACCAAGAAACAAAACAGAAGAAAATAATAATACTACCTAACTCATAGAGCTGTGCAAGGAGGATTCGGTGATGTAATAATTCAGGTAAAACATGAAAACAGTGCCTGGCACAGTAAATAATTAGAACTACGATGTAATTATAATCATCATCGCCATTGTACTGTCTGAAGAAACTTCAGTCTCGTGAAGGTAGCAGAGAGTGTCACCTCTTGATGGGAAAGCTAAAGGATCGTAAATACACCGGGGTTTGTAGGAGAAACAGCTGGATTAGGAGGCCTGGACTGGGGGCCATCTCAGTCCCTAGATGGTTCAGCTTGTGGGAATTCCAGGTCCCAGTGAGCCCCATTTTGCCCAGTTCCCCATGTAGACATAGGGCATTGAGGGCATATCCAGCAAATCAGGGAAGGCCTCCTGTTGTTTGAATTGAGCTGGGAAGACTGGACAGGAATTGACCTGGTGAGGAGTGAGAGGCGAGGGGGAGCAGTGTAAGGAAAGTTTGGTTCCTTTGGGGACAAAAGGAGCCACTGTAGCTGGACCTGCTGGGGGTGCGGGGTGGGAGGAGAGAGAGCCTGTTACCCACATGTCAGTCTTGTCCAGCAGAGACAGCAACACTAAGGTCCTAAGTTGGGAGGGGCCCCAGGTCACTCTGGAAAGTAGGGACAGCAACAAGGCTGTGCCCATCCTGCCGCTTCCCACCTCTGTTCTCTGTCTCCCTCACCCCCTTAATGTATATATAGGAAAAGGCACAGATGGGCGACAGCTACTGGGGAGGCCACGTGATAAGCATATGGTCTTATATTTTCCCCCGCCTCTTGTCTGACCTGGAGCTGTCGCTGAGCACTGCCTGTTCCCAGGGTTTCTGAGCTGGGTGTCTGGTTGTGGGCTCATTCTATTGCCTATGTTGGTGTGCTGTGCTGGTGCCTCAATGGGGCTGTGTAGTGAGGGGCATAGATGTCAAGGAAGGGGGAGCTGCTACGATAAACACCAACCTGAAGATGGAGGGAAGGTACTGCGTCTCAGACTCATTCATTCACTCATTCATTCACTCACTCATTTAATCAACCTTCCCCACATAACCATGATGTGCGAGGCTCTGAGCTGGGTCCCAAGGACATGGGGACAACTCAGCAGCTGCTTTCTGCCATCAGAGGGCATATGACATTACTGAGGGCAGATGTAATGCCAGGTAAGGAGGTGGCAGGTTACAAGACAAAGCTGGATAGAAAGTATACTGGGGAAATAGTAACTGTAGCCACCATGAAAACTGCGCAGGTATGAGATGAAGAAACCTGCAAAACCATAATATAACACAAAGCTTGAATAAATGTAGATATTCATCTCATGCTTAACCTGAAAAACTCAGGGTAAAGATGTCAGCTCTTCTCCAACTTAAACACATATCATGCAACATCAATCGAAATTCTGATGGGATTTTTTGGGGGGAGGGTGAGGAGAAGGCTTGACAAAATCATTCTATAATTTACCTGAAAAACATTTACAAGATTGGGAATTGGTAAGAAATATTTTTTATAAAGCATAACAATGTCAGGGGCTTGTGTTATTAGGCACTAAAATATATTCCAAAATTATAATAGTCACACTATGTGATGGCATCATGGAAAGAGACAGGTAGATTCCTGGAGCAGAATAGGTCTGGACGTAGATCCACATAAGTATGAGAGTTTATTTCCTGATAAAGGTGCATCTCAAATTAGACGAAAGAAAGAAGTCTCCAGGGCCGGCCGAGTGGTGCGTTGGTTAAGAGCTGGCTTGGGACGCCAGAGGGCCCCGGTTCGGATCCCACATATGAGGGTCAGTGACACTGCCCTCTACAGCTAAGATGTTGAACAACAGTTCAACCTGGAGCTGGGCTGCCGTGAGTCGCCGGCAACAGCATAGGCTGCAGCCCCTGCTGCACTGTGTTGCCATGGGCTGCCGTGTGTAGCCAGCAGCCAGCGTAGCCAACAGCCAGCGTGAGCGGCCTTCCAGAAGCCGGAGACTGATCTGCCTCGCCCAGGAAGAGCGCAATGATGGTGCCAACTTGGGCCAATGAAGCAACGTCCTCCACAACTAGACTGAAGAACAAAAGGACCGCAACTTGTCTGTTCCCCTTCCCTCAATTTCCCAGAGCTGTTCCCATCCCCCAATCCCCCAATTAAAAAAAAAAATCTTAAAAAATAAAGAAAGAAGTCTCCATGTGACGCTACAGCCTCAGACTTCATTTGGGATGCAAAGAGATGTGGTCTCTCTTCTCCCCCCAAACATATTCCTTTGGGGGGCTTTGCCTGCAAAGGATTGATTAAAAACAACATGAATCTAGCCCCAAACAGTGTCCCCAGAGCGCTCCTATCCACTATCACCCCTGTTCTTCAAGAAGACAGCACAACGTCATATACATTTTAGAAAATGTCCACTCCCTCCCCATGATAGTCATTCAAACCCATCAAAACAAATTAGAAAAAAAGGAGAGAAAGTGGAAACTCCCTGTGAGCCCAGTACACACATATATTTATTCTTTCGGAAACCAGGATCATCATGTGTATGCAATTTTGTAACTCCTGAGTTCACTTTGTATCACACTGCGAGTGGTTAAATATCCTTTGAAAACACAATTTCTGATGGCTGTGTGCTATTCCTTAAGAAGTAGACACCAGGATTTATTTAGCTGTTCCCCTAAAGTTGATTATTTTCCAGACAGCTATTATAATGTAAATGACCTGCTGGCTTACAAAAATCTCGTTTCTGATTATTTTCTTGGGCTGGATTCCTACAAGTGGGGTTACCAGGTCAAAGGGCAGAACACATTCAAGAGTCTTGATGGATTGTTTGCCAATTGCTTTCCAGAAAGCAGGAAACACAGGAAGCCAGCGCTGGCTTTCCCTACCTTCATCAGCATGAGCATTATTTTTAGTGTTTTTTTTTACTTGGGCAATTTGCTAGGCTGGCTTCCTGCCAGGTGCCAGTGCTAAGCATTATGTAATATCGCCCTCACACCCCCCTGGGAGGGGACACCCATTTTATAGAGGAAGAAACGAGCTCGGAGAGAACTCCCCTGACTGCCAGTGTCTCCTAGTCAGAAGGCAGTGGCGCCCTGATTCAACCTCGGACGTCTCCAAAGCTAGATCAGGGTGTCAGAGTGCTTGGACCTGGTTGGAGGCCTGAGCGATCTGGACTCAGCCCTTCTCTCCCTCCTTACTGTCTCTGTCTTGGTTGTCACCGCAGTAAATTTTCTAATCTGGGCGGATGTGAGGCTGTGGCCCCCTTCCCTAGCGCTCCGTGACCTTTGGGGAGAAAGCCTAACTCCTCAGGCCGGCCTTCAAAGCCACCGTCCTCCAGGTTGCCCTTCCATCCAAAGGCGCGACGTCCCCCTGACCCCGGCCCCGCCCCGCCCCGCCCCGCGCCCAGGCTACGCTGAGCCACTTTCGCGCCTCTAACGCCCGGCGGAGTAAGGCACCTGTGCCGCCGCCCGAGGCTGCAGTAGAGCCGATCCAAATCTTTAGGGCAACGCCTGTTAAAGGACCGAAGATTGCTTGACACTGCGCGTCCCTAGCGCCACCAGGCGCCGTGCCTGCATACAGTCGGCGCTTAATGCAAAGGGAGCGAATTGCCCAGGGCTGTTAAGAGTTACAGACAGCTGAGTAACAGCAAGGGGAGCAGGGATTACGACTTAGTAACCACAGGTTTTTGGCTCAGTGACTCCATGTGGGGACCGAGGATAGGGGCGCCGGGATGCGGGACAGTTAAAGGATCCTTCGAGGTCAGGATGAGCACCGTTATTTATTATTGAACTCAGCCCTTCTAACCCCCTCCCGAGTCAAATTGGAGAAAAAACACTTTCAAACCGACCTCCCCACCCCGTTTTAGAGCACATTCTTCTGCCCGGCTGTGCTAGTCGCCCTGTCGCCGGGTCTCGGCCCCCGAATGCCCAGCGGCTGGCTGCACACCCCTCGCACCCCAGCCCCGCGCGCCACGCTCCCCCATGCCCCCTCCCCCGCCGCCCCGATCGCGGAACAGTGGTGGCTGCGGGGAGGTCGGTTGGGGATAGTCTCCTCGAAGTCGCCCGCGTTTACCCCCTAGACGACAAATCCCTCCGGGCGACAGACGGACCTTGAGCTCAGAGCCGCCCCTCCGCGACACAGAGGACGCCCTCTGCAGAGAGTCCCCTTGTAGCACAGAGCCGCGCCCGCCGCCGTCTGGGCGCGAGGTGAGCGTGTGTTTTGCCTCCCCGCAGCATAACCGGTACTCGGGGAGTGATCTCGCGAGCGGCCAGCGGCACCCGAACCTCCGGTCCTCCAGAGGGCGCTGCCCGGCCCGGCCGGCAGACCAGCTTTCCGAGCGGACAGGCCAAAGTGGAGCTGCCGGAGTCCTGGAACCCCTATCCGGAGTCGCCTGGCCCATGCTCTGCCCGCCCTGATGGTGGGGGCGACGCGATAGCAGAGGGGCTGCGGGGAGGAGGCCGTGCAGTTCCTGCGGCCAAAGCTGCGCGGGGAGGTGAGGTGCTCTGGCCGAGGACGGCTGGAGGAACAGACGGAAGGCTTAGAGGCCACTATAATGGAGGCTGAGGGCTTCGGGGGCAGGTGGGGTTACCGGAGGTGATGTGTAATGCTGCTGTATCTGCAGAGGAAGGGGTTAGCGGAATGGCTGAAGGGAAGCCTTCCTCCTACCTTGTTCATGGGTGGGGGTGGGAGTGGGGGTGTTGCTGTTTTTGACACCAAGTAGGCACAAGGAAGAGGGTGGGGGGAGGCTGGCTTTCATAAGCGGTTGGCGCCGAGAAAGGCTGAAGGGGGAGATGAATTTGAGTCGGATGCTTCTAAAAGGATGGACGGTGAGAGTTGGAGAGATGGAGGGCGGGCATTTGAAGGAGGGACTGTTGACAGGATTTGGGGGAAATTGGGAGGGTGCTTGACTCCTTCTGCTGCTGGTAGAATTGGGGGTGTAATAATGGGGTAGGGTGCAAATGTGGCATGCTCTGGGCAGTACTGGGAGTGTAAAACTCAGCTGGCAGTATTTGAGGGCCCGGGGTTGAGGTGGATGATCATGGACCGGAGGACAGCTGGACAACCCTGTGGTGGAGCTCCCAGCCTTACTCCCCTTCCTTTCCCCAGCCGCCATGTTCAACCAGCAACTGCAGCAGCAGCAGCTCCAGCAGCAGCTGCAACAGCAGCAGCAGTTGCTGCAGCTCCAGCAGCTGCTCCAGCAGTCTGCACCACAGGCCCCACTGCCCATGACCATCAGCAGGTGAGTTTCCCGGGAAGGGGTGGGCAGTGCCACTTAGATCCAGGTCTTGGAGACCTCCCCTTCTCAGCCCTTTCTTCCAGAGGAGTGCCTGTTTGAGCCCTGCAGGTCATCAAACAGGGGGGGCAGAGAATGGAGGTGAGGTGTCTCAGGAAAGAGGGAGGGTCTGACTCTTCTAGTAACCCTCTGAAACCTGCTTTCAACACAGGGGGCTCCCCCAGCAGCAGCCACAGCAGCAACTTCTGAACCTCCAGGGCGCCAGCTCTGCCTCCCTTCTCAATGGCTCTGTGCTACAGAGAGCTTTGCTTTTGCAGCAGTTGCAAGGTACGGCCACAGGCCCTTCTCACTCTGTCTTAGTGGCATCTTCCTAGCAGCCCCATTGCATTAAGTCTCGCCAGATCCACACAGCATCCCCGACAGGGAGCTAGTGTCAGCATCCCAGTTTACAGACGAAGACACAGGCTTCAGGAGTTGTAAGCCCCTAAGCGGCTCAGCTGCATACAGGTCTATCTGATCACAGAGGTTTGCCCTTGGCCATGGTGCTGGCCCTAAGGGCAGCACTCAGCACATGTTACTGACATTTAGGTTAGATGAGACAATGGACGGAATGATCTATTTTGACCACCCTCCTTCTCATCCCGTTTGACAGATGAGGAAGCCGAGTTCCAGATAAGGGAAGTCATTTGCTCTGGGTCACAGCACAGCAATGGCTGAGCTAGACGAAGGCCTAGGTCTCCTGACCTCCTTGATCTCTGAGTGGGTGTCTCTAGCCCTCTGAGTTAAGCCGGTGCCCTTGCCTCAGTTTCCCCATGTGGAGAGCAGTATCTCAGCTCTTCCAAGATGCTGCTCCTGATACCTCAGCCCCTGTGGGAGTAATCCAGTGGTCCTGGGGCCAACTCGTGTTCGGACCCAGCCCCTTTCACATGGTAGGTTTGACTTGCTGGGCTGGGCACTATGCTGAGGCCTTTACAAACCCAATTCCTTGAATCTGCTGACAACCCTAAGGGGAGAGACGCTCGTGACCCCATTTTACAGGTGATGAAACTGAGGCTCAGAGAGGGGTCCTGTGCCCAAGGTCACATAGCAAGTAGGTATTGATTAGAGGGAGAATTAGAGCCCAGATCTTACTACAGAGCTGTGTTCTTCGGTATTAGACTATCCTGCAGGGTATGCGGCCAGGTCAGACGATGCGATGGTTGTCACTCTGCAGTCCTACCAGGGTCACATAGATGTGGATGGTCCTGGGAGCTGACTTAGAAATGACAGATGGATGGGCGGAGAGATAAAACCACAATGTATACATATATATTTCCGCCTTTTCCTTTCCCATTTTAAAAGTCACACTCGTCAAAGAAAAATGAAAAAAGTATTTTAAAAAGAGGATAAGTAAACCCAAATTATCATGTGTAGACTCCCTCCTGAAGAAAAGAACCACCTCCCAAGATTTTACTGTATTTCCTCCCATTTTTTTTTTTCTCGGCGCAAACTTGGGGATTTGTATGGGATTGTGGTTATTGATATAAGTGAGAAGCTGTATCCTGTTCCTTTTTCACTGAATAGAATGGCATGTTCATTCATCATATAATTTGACAGTCTCTGTAAAGATTATTTTTAACAGCTGTTTAATATTCCACTGGAGGGACATACCCTTGCTTACCTAAACCTTCTCAGCTGCTCCCCCCCCCCTTTTTTTTTCTTTTAAGTAACACTAGGATGAATATCATGTTTGAGAATATTTTCTTAGACTGGATTTCCAAGAGTAGAATGACTGGGTCGGGGCTGGGGTGTGTGTGGATGTTTTATGGCTCTTGATAAGTATTGCCAAATTGCTTTCCCAAAGGACTGGACCAGTTTGCAATGCCACCAGCCACGTATGACAGTGTTGGTCTCACCATGCCCACGGCAACATTGGGTATTATATGCTTTTTTATATATATACGTACATATACATATAATTTACTAATTTGGTTGGCAAAAAAGCTATGTCATTAATGTTTTAGTTTACATTTCTTGGAGTGCTAGTGCAGTTTAACATTTTATATTTGCCTGTTAAATATTTGTATTTCTTTTGTGACTTGTCCATGTCCTTTGTCATTTTTCTTTTAGAGTGTGTCATTGTTTATCTTGCTATTTTCAAGAGTTGATTGGCATTCTTTCTCTGCACATATGTATATATGTATTTGTTTTAAGTTAATGTTAATTGAACACTTACTACATACCAGGTACACGTGTATATCTCATTGAATCCTCATAAAACACTGTGAGTCAAGCGTTATTATTATCCCCATTTTACAGATGAGAGAACTGAGGCTAAGATGGGGAAACTGATTTGCTTAAGGTCACGGAGCTTGTACTATAGGGTCTGGATTTGAACCAGCTCTCATAGCACATCTGACCTATGCCCTTTAACCCCTGTCCTTCTAGTGCCAGCACTGGGGCAAGAATTTGAACTGCCTTTCATGGCTCAAAAACTTCCCAAGCACTGGGCTTCTGAGTCTATGAGGTGCCTGCTGCCCTTAAGGAGTTCCCAGTGTGGTTGGGTGGTGGGCAATGGGAAACACACCAGGAAATTGTGTAGCAGATCCTAGAACAGGCAATCTGGGGCCCCTGGGGACCCAGGAAAGGTCTGGGAAAGCCTCCCAGAGAAGGAGACACACCTATACGGAGGTCTGAAGGATGACTGGGAGGCAGCGGAGGGCAGAATGTCCCAGGTGGAAGGAACAGCATGTGCAAAGGCCCAAAGGCAGGAAGAAACCAGGCTTGTTTGCAGGCTGCATGGGAGAATGTGGCTGGAGTCTAGTGGGACCATGTGTGGGGAGAAGGGCAAGAAAGGAGGTCGAGGGAGAGGCAGGGCCAGATCTCTCACCATGAGCAGCAGGAGCTATGGAAGGTGTTAAGCAGGGAAGTCAGACTGTGGCTTTAGAAAGGTCACTGTTTGCTGCTATCCAGGGCAAAAGCTATGGCCGGCATTCAGGCAGGGGATGAAGTGGCTTTGGAAGGGCGCTGGGAAAGGAGATGGAAAGGGGAATCAGGTTGGACTGGGAAGAGGGTTGATAGGATTTGGTGTTGGCTTGGATGGGGCGGCGCGTAAAGAGAGGGAAGAGTCAGGAGGACCCCCACAACCATGGCTGGGGCCAGTGTATATCTCCTCCACTTTGTGACTCTTGTGACAGTAATACCTACCCTGATGATGGCTGGGCCGAGTGACTGAGGCCGTGCATGGAAAGTGCTTAGCAACTAGTTCCCAGGGTAGCTGGTGGGGGTAGGGAAGGGCCTTATTATTCCAGGGACCAGTCATCTTGCTAGTTCTTCCTCTGGGTCCTGTGCTGGATCTTTCACATACCATAAGGTGTACCCCAGAGCATGCCTGAAGGTGAGTGGGGTTGCTAGGGCTGCTCAAGCCGCTGACCTGGGAGGCATCTGGGGAGGGAAAGGACAGTGCCCCAGCTAGAGCATAAAACCAGCCTTACTGCTCCGGGCGGGACTGGGTCCTCGGCTCTCATCTCTCCCCTCTAACTGACCTTGAGTGGGAAGGGTCACCTTCAAAGTTATCTGTGGTGTTCCCATGATGCTTTGGGGTATGACCCCTGACCCTAACCTCTACCATCCAACCATGGTTGTAGTCTCTCTTCTTCCCTCTTCTTACTTACAGGTAACTTCCGTGGCTACAACCTGACAGCCCCCGGCCTCACACACCCCCAGCTGGCCACTCCAAATCTACAGCAGTTCTTTCCCCAGGCCACTCGGCAGTCTCTGCTGGGCCCCCCTCCTGTTGGGGTCTCCATAAACCCCTCCCAGCACAACCCTTCAGGGCGTGGCCCCCAGAAACAGGCCCGGACCACCTCCTCCACTCGCCCCAATCACAAGGTGAGTGATGGCTGGGGTAGAACAGGTAGGGATGGGAGTAGGAGAGGGCTGACCTGGTTGTCAACCCCGCTCCCCGCTCCGCTCACACTGGGCTTTGGGGCAGGTCACATCCCTCTTTGTGCCTCAGTTGCTTCATCTGTAAAATGAGCAGGAGGCAAGTTGAACTTGTCTAGTGTTTCCCAAACTTGAAATAGTCCTGAACCCCTGATGTGATTTATGCCATGTCCAAACACGAGCAGTATTATTTACCTAATATTTCTCTTTTCTAAAAAAATTGAGATATGATTGACATAATGTATTAGTTTTAGGTGTACTTTAACAGTTCTCTTTAAAATCAGCACTACCCAGTGGACATAGAATGCAAGCTATATATATAAAATTTAAGTTTTTCTGGTAATCACATTAACAAAGTGAAATGAAACAGGTGGAGTTAATTTTAGTCATATATTTTATTTAACCCAATATATGAAAAGATTAGCATTCCAACATGTAAGCAGTCTGAAAAAATTAATGAGGCATTTTACATTCCTTTTTTTATACTAACTGTTGAAATCCGGTGTGTCTTTTATACTGACATCTCAATTTGGCTTGCCACATTTCAAGTGCTTAAAAGCCACCCACGTGTGGCTAGTGACTCCTGTCTGGGCTAGCACCACGTTAAATGAACTAGCTTTTTCTCAGTTACATTTATTTTAAAAGGAACCATTATGTTACTACCTAAAATTTAAAGTCAGTGTACATTAATCGTCATACATGGAAGTGAAAGAAAGGTGATTGGGGTGAAATGATGTTATAAGATCCTGAACTCGTCCCCTGTTGCCATCTGAGGGTGCTGAGCCTGCACCCCGGCTCCTTCTGTGGTTGAGAGTTGGTAGTGAAGCATCAGAGAAAAGCTCTCCCCGACATAAGCAGAGACTCTCAAAGAGACTTGCAGAGGGAATAACAGCATCCTGGCAGCTCCTCGTACACACCACACTCCTGAGAGCGTTCCGGGGTAGGGTAGGGGCAGTGCTCCCCATTCTGTCTGCTCTAGGGCAACCCCCATCAGGAGGTGAGGCGTTTCCCTCCAGAGGGACCCCGGCCTCTGACCTTCCAGTGGGCCTGTCCTCACGTGGTCTTGTCTGTGGCCGCCCCCCTGCCCACATTTTACAAGTAGGAAAACTGAGGCTCAGAGTGGGGTAGAGGTTGCCCTGGGCTGCACAGCTGCCGAGACAGACCCAGAGCTGTGGGCCTCCTAACTCACTGGCCAGTGCCGTGTTGTGCAGGGTGAGAGCTGGGTGGTCCTGAAGGTGCATGAAGTCCTGCTGTGGTGCACATGCCCGCTCACTGTTGGTTCTGTTAGCTTAGAAGGAGGGAGGGAGGCTGCAGATGGGGCTTCTGGGGCTTCCTGAGGGACCCTGGAACCAGCTGGAGCCATGCATGTATTTGGCAAACATCTCTAAGTCCCTGCAGGGGACTCAATGGTACATGTGGCCTGGCCCTCCTGGAGATCTTGGGCTGGGGAGGAGGGTGGGTGTGGAGGTAAAACAGTAATGCAAATAATGCTCCCACCAATGAATTAATACTGTGGAGAATGCCACAAAAGGGAAGCCCAAGGCCCTCTGGGGACCTGTACTAGGGGTCTGGACCTACTCTGGGGTCAGGAGGGCTTTCTGTAAGAAGTGCCTCGGAAGCCCTGTGCGAAGGCCTGGGGCAGGAAGAGGCCTGGGGCTTTGGGGACTAGAGAGAAGGCCAGTGTGGATGTAGAAAGGGGGAAAGGGAACTGCTGAGGCGGAAGGGGTAGGTGTGGGGGCAGAGGTCAGATTGTGGAGGAGGTGGGGGAGATGGTGTCAGGCTCAGGATAAGAAAGGAGTGCTCCAGGCCTACAAGAAGCCACACGAGGGTTTCAGCTTGAAAGAGGCAAGGGACATGGTCACGTTTGCATTTGAGAAGAATTCCTCTGGCTGCTAAGTGGAGAAGATAGTGGGGAAGTCAGGAGGCAGCACCGAGGCCAGGAGAGGAGAGGGCTTGTGTCCCCCCAAACCTGGGTTTACTGAACAGGCAAGCTATTGGGTTGTTGGAAAAGTCATGACGTATTTTTTTCTATGTTTTTCGTTGCAAAAATGCGTCATGACTTTTCCGACAACCCAATAGATGGACCTCCCTAGACATGATTCCTCGGGTGTTTAGGATCATCTCTTGGCACCTCTGGGGTCAGGCCCATCAGAGGTCCCCAGGGCCCTTCATCTCCTGGGGGACTGTTGCAGCCACTCTTGGGCAAAGATGTATTTACAAGGATGGGGGGTGGATGTCAGAAATGGTTTCTGAAAGGAAGCAGGATTCTTCTTCACAGACGATGCCTGTGGAAGACAAGGCAGACCCCCCAGAGGGGTCTGAGGAAGCTGCAGAGCCCCAAACGGACACACCAGGTAAGGGAAGCTGCTGGCCCTTCAGAAGGGACGCAGGTTGGGGCAGGTGGCTGCAGGGCTGGTAATGGAGGCAGATCTGGGAGTCAGGGATCTTCGTGGGGGATGAGCCCATGCCTCATCTCCCAGAGCTTGTTCGTGCTTTACTTGCCAATGGCAGTCACTCATCTGTCCTCCGTTTTAGACCAAGATTCCCCTCCCAGCCCAGATGGCATCACTAAGGAGAAACACACTTCAACACGTGAGCCAGAGTCCTATGAGGCGTCTGAGCCACCAGCCAAAAGGTCAAAGAGGTAACTGATGCTGAAAACCTGCCAGGGCCCTGGAGTTCTGTACTCCCATCCCTGCAAAGGCATGGGGTGGGTGTAGGTGGGGGCAGGACCCTTCAGGGGAGCAGGAGCAAGGAAAGGGCCTTGACCTCTGGCTTGGAGGAAGGTCAGACCTAATTCTGCACTTCACCTGGGAACGCCCCAGGCTAGACTCTGGTGTTTTCTCACTCTGACTGAGTCACCTGGAAGCAGACAAGGTGGCCAGGTGGGAGGAGTGACGATATGTATCAGGGACCCCATGGTGGGCAGAGGGTATGCAGCTTTACAGGGCTTAGGGTACATATTAGCAATTTGTGGGAGGTGGGGGCAAGTGATCTTGCGAATTTATTTAGGTGAATCTGGGGCCCTGAGAGCCAAAGGAGCGTGCCCGAATGCCCAGCTTGAACATGGTAGAGTGATGACTGGAACCTGGATCCTGGCCTTTCTAGGGAGCCCCTAGGACCAAGCGGAAGACATGAATTTGATATTCTTTTGATCTTTCCTAGGTCAAAGGAGCCCATAGAGAAGGGGCGTTCAGGGCAGCTGCAGGCAAAGGTCCAGCCACAGGCCCGGATGACAGTACCGAAGCAGACACAGACACCCGAGCTGCTGCCTGAGCCACCAGAAGCCCGAGTGCTGCCACGATTCCAGCCACGGGTTCTGCAGATCCAGGCCCAGGTGCAGCCACAGGTGCCACCAGCAGATGCCCAGGTGCAGCCAAAGCTGCAGAAGCAGGCACAGACACAGACCTCTCCAGAGCACTTAGTGCCACAGCAGGTGCAGCTGCAGCTACAGAAGGAGGTGGAGCCACAGAAGCCGGTGGAGCCACAGAAGCTGGTGCAGCCACAGGTGCAGCCACAGGCACATTCACAGCCCCCAAGGCAGGGGCCGTTACAGCTGCAGAAGCAGGCACAGACCCAGACGTATCCACAGGTCCAGGCAGAAGCACAGCCAAAGGTCCAGCCCATGGAGCAGCCACTGGACCAGACCCAGGAGCAGCCGCAGACCCAGCCACAGGTGCCAGCATCGGAGCAAGTGCCAGTTCCAGTTAATTCCACTGTGCAGGAGACACCACCTGATACGGTAGAAGCTGGAGCGGGTAAGTGAGTGCTGGCTTAGCCGGCCCAGTGATGGGAGAGCTCTGCCCAGGCCCTTCTTTCCTCCCCTGGCACCGTCTAGTCCTGACTGGGTGCTGTTTGGGACCGAGGGTTGGACCTAGAATGAGGTTTTGGGGCTGTCCACACCGGAGGCTTCAAGGCCTTGGCTGTGGGCAGAGAAGGTGGCCCTTGGGCCCGGGTCCTTCTGGGCCATGTGGGAGATGGACTCTGGGAAACAGAGCACATCTGTCATTTCAGGCCTGGAGGAGGCCTCAGCAGAGCCGGTGGGTGCCCAGGTCAGCGTGGAAGAGAGCCAGGAAGAGCTGACCAGTGGTCTGGATGTGGGAGAATGTGAAAAAAGAGCAAGGGAGATGCTCAGGGTGGGTAGAGATGCTGATGTGACCACAGTGTCCAGCGGTGGAGGGCCTCTTCCTGCCCCAGCCCACCTCTGGGCCCTGTCACGTTTCCCCACCTGGAAGATGTGAGGGCAGCCCTCCGCCTGGGTTTGACAGTGGCTTGTCAAACTCATGCTGTTGTGTTGCCTTCACATGCCTTTGCTCTGAAGATCTGGAAGTACTTTTGGTGACAAGAGTCCCTTCCAACCTGCTCCTCACAAAACTAGAGTCCCTAGTCCCCTGACATGGGTAACGTTGCTCTAATGGAGAGAGCAGAGTGGCAGCCCATGCTGGGGGATCAGGCCCAAGCTCTGCCTCACAGGGAATTGTAGCCAAACCCATTTCCTTCTTTGTGTCTCAGTTTCAGTTTCTCCATCTGTCAGGTGAGGAGTCGGGTGGGTGGACTTGAGAGGTAGGTAGGACTGGGTTGGAATCCTGACTGTAGTGTATCCTAGCTGTGTGAGCTTGGGAAATCACCCAATGGCTCAGAGCCTCAGTTTCCCCATCTGTAATGTGGGCTGTCAGGAGGGCCTGATGAGACAGTGCTCATAGATGTTTAGCAGTGGGGCTGGCGCTCTGTAAGTGCCCAGCTGGTGGTAGCTCTGCTCCTGCTTCTGGTGCAGATGTGGGGTGCCGGGGGCTCCCTGAAGGTTACCATCCTGCAGAGCAGTGACAGCCGGGCCTTTAGCACTGTACCCCTCACACCCGGGCCCCGTTCTGGCGACTCCACCTCTGCCACCTCTGCTGCCACCAGCACATCCTCTAAGCAGGCCCTCCAGTTCTTCTGCTACATCTGCAAGACCAACTGCAGCAGCCAGCAGGTACTGCCACCCGGGCCCTTGGGGGTGGGTAGGTCGAGGGGACGGTCTGGGTGGGATGCCCAGCGTGCCGTTTCCACGGCCGCCTGTGTGGCCACACGGGGCCCGGTGAGCCCCGCCCCTGGCAGCCATCCACTTGCTCGGAAACCATTTTCTGGCCAGCCATGAAGGCAGGATTTTAGAGTCAGGCAGAGCTGGTATGAATTGGCCCTGACCAGCTGTGTAGACCTCGGAAGGTGAATTTCACCCTTCATGCCTCAGTTTCCTCATGCGTCAGATGAAGAAACATTTAGAACCCACCTTGTTGGGTGATTCTGAAGATTCCGGGACTTGACATTGAAGTCCTTAGCCCCAGGCTGGGCCCAGAGTGAGCACAGCATTAATAACAGCTTCCTACTCATATTATTGCTCCTAGTACTGTTGTCACGGTGCCTCTCCTGAACGGAGCTGGGGGACCTGGACGTTCATCAGACTGCTTCTTGTCTTTGAGGCACTCACACAGCTCCAGGACGAGCAGAAGCACTGGCTGCCGTGTGCTTGCTCTGTGCCTCAGTTTACCAGCCTTGTCTGGCCCACACAGGGTTGTAAGAGAAATGGCCTGGCACCGGTGGTGGGGTGGCCATGCAGCCAGGTTGGAGGCCTCCTCCCTGGGCCCTGCCCTGACCGCCATTCCGGGGCTCCTGCCTCATGCCCCTCCCTTGCTCCTTTCTGTTGCAGGAGTTCCAGGACCACATGTCGGGGGCCCAGCACCAGCAGCGACTTGAGGAGATCCAGCACATGAGCCACGCCTGCCTCCTGTCCCTGCTGCCCGTGCCCCGGGATGTCCTGGAGAGAGAGGACGAGTGAGTGTGGGATCTCAGACGCTCTGAACTGGGGGGTGGGCAGCCTCGCAGGCCAGACAAGGCTGAGAGGGGCCCTGAATCTCCCATCTGCAAGCTCTGCCTTTGTGTTAAGCATTGCCCTCCCCCAGAGGCCTCTTCACACCATCAGCTATGGGCCTTGGACCTCAGTTTTCCTCATCTGTAAAATGGCCTGGTGAGGGGTGTAATGCAGGAATTCATGAACCAGACAGTTTCTTGAGGTTCCTGCCATCCAGGCGGGAAGGAAGTGCGTTGTGACCCTGGGGCTGCTCCCCTGGTCCCCTGGCATATGTACTGACCCCACCACGGGGACACAATGGTGAGGATCAGGTCATCTTGTGGCCTGAGGTTAGAGCTACCCTGCGTGTCCCCTTGTCATTGTCATGGGTGCTCAGTCAGTCAGAAATGTCAGCCCTCCTGGATCCTGAGACTGGCTCTTGGGGTGGGAAGGTGGCAGCGGGAGGACCTTTCACGACCCCGTGGGCAGTCACAGAGGCCTGCAGGGGCTGGGAGGTGTCATCAGTGAAAGAAGCGGGTCATGTTGGCCCAGGCCATCCTGGGGGACGTCGATGGGCTCTGTCTCATGGGATAGCTGTCCCTTAGGTCCTGGTCCCCTAGTTTTTCAGGAGAATCTGGAAACCCAGATTTGTAGGTGAAGTCTCCCAATTTCAGAATGTTAATAGCTACTTCCCAATTAAAACAAAACTAAGAAAATCCTGTAGAGCCCAAATGAAATGCTTCCACAGTCTGGACAGGCCCTGAGGCCGTGGTCAGGGACTCTGCTGTGAGCGTTTACAAAGGGTCATGGCTTGAGGCTCCCAGTGGGGAGAGGGCACAGGTGCCCTGAGTGACCGCGAACACTCTCTCCAAAGGCAACTGTGTCTCTGTTAGCAGTCCTCACTTTGAGGAGAGCTTCCCTACATGGTTTTGCAGTATATTCTCGTTCTTTAAACCTCCTCCTGCCCGCTGACCTAGGACTTATACTTAGGTGACATCATCACAAACACAGGAGAAAGGGCACTCACAAAATGTTCCTTGCAGAGTTCATGTAATAGTGAAAAAATGTCATTGGAAATTACCTAAATTATCCCAAACTAGGGGATTTTAGTTATATCTTGTCCATGTGGTGGAATAACTAATTAATAGGACAGTGGCAGGAATTTATGATAATGTGGAAACGTGCATGATCCGGCGTCAAGTCAGAACAGGAGTCAAAGTTGCATTTGCAGAATGAGCTTGATGATGTCAAAATAGATCTCGTCACACAAGAGCACTGCGCCGATGTAGCCCGAACTCTTAACAAGCTTCAGGTGGAGGGGATTCGCTGACCTGTCACCTGATGCCACCTCCCCTTGAATCCTTACTTGGCCCCCTGAGGCCACGCAGAACGTGGCAGTCCTTCAGAGAGGCTGCCTGTCCTTCCTTCGTCTGATACAGCCAGAAACTCAAGGCCGACCCCGTGCCAGGCCCTGGGGATTCTGGGGTGCAGTCCTGGCCCCCCAGAGCTCACCACAGCCCAGTGCTGGTGGAAAAGGGACGAGGTCCTGCCAATCCATTGTGGACAAAACTGTGGCGGTGGCACACTGGGGCCTCACGGGGGCCTGGCCTTACTGGGATGGGGACAGGTCCAGGAATGGGGGGAGGGGCAAGAACAGCTCTGGGAGCGACAGGGCATTTAAACCAAAGGATACAAACCAATGGAGGATGAAAACCAAAGGAGTTTTCAAGGACAGATATCCCAGTTGTATCACTGTACTTACTGGTGGCCCCTCGGTATCCCAAATGCTTCTGAATCTCATTCTGCCCACGCCCCCAACCCCCCAAGTTTCCATGGTTCTTTTTTTTTTTTTTTAATTGAAGAATCGGGGAAGGGGACCAGACAAGTTGCTGTCCTTTTTTGTTCTTCAGTCTAGTTGTGGAGGACGTTGCTTCACTGGCCTATGTTGGTATTATCATTGCGCTTTTTCCGGGTAAGGCAGATCGGTCGCAGGCCACTGGACGGCCACTCACAGCAGCTCTTGGCAGTTCATGCCTGCTGCCGGCTGCTCATGGCAGCCCAGCTCCAGGTTGAGCTGTTGTTCACCATCTCAGCTGTAGAGGGCACAGCATCACTGGCCCTCATGTGGGATCCGAACCGGGGCCCTGCTGCTCAGAGCTGGCGTCCCAAGCCAACTCTTAACCAACACGCCCCTTGGCTGGCCCTTCATGGTTATGCTTATTTAAGTATTGTTCCAGATGAATCACAGAACCACTTAGTTAAGTTTCCAAAAGAGATCCTGTTGGAATGGCACTTCATTTACGGAGCATGTGGAAGAGTTGCTGTCTTTCCAATAAACATAGTGTCACCCTGTACTTGTTTTGATTGTCATCATTCAGAGAGCCTCCTCTGAGGCGCTGGTGCAACACCTGCCGGGTCTACTACATGGGGGACCTGATCCAGCACCGCAGGACACAGGACCACAAGGTACGAGGGCGCACATGCTGTGGAGCCACCCCCTGTGCTGTCTCTAAGCCGAGGGCTGGAGGGCACGGAGCCCAGGTCGGGAGTGGAAGGTCGCAGTCAGCCTTTGTCTCTGCGTGGCCATAATTCGAAAGTGTGGCTTCTCGATGAGTCAGTCATGTTTCTTCTCTGGGCTTCAGTTTACCCCTCTGCCCTGTGTGGGCAAGGCGCCGTATCACCGTGCCATTCAGCTACGGGGCTCGTAGGGTTCCTCTTGGTGGTTATCTTCTCTCCCTGTCTTCTCTTTGTCCTGTCTGTTGCCACCTGCCATTCCACCTCAGAGCCAGAGGCATAGAGAGGGGACGTGTTACCCATGTTTGATACAGGGGCAGCCCGCAGCCAGCTGATTACAGATGTGGTGGCCTGCAGGTGGGAGGCGAGGTCTCGCTGGGCACTGCCTGGCTGCACCTGGGGACACTGCCCGCCACCTACGTGGCCTGCCCTTCCTTCCCCAGATCGCCAAACAGTCCCTGCGACCTTTCTGCACCATTTGCAACCGCTACTTCAAGACCCCCCGCAAGTTTGTGGAGCACGTGAAGTCCCAAGCGCACAAGGACAAAGCTAAGGAGGTAACCCCAGTTCCCTCAGAGGACATGGGCCCAGAGAGGTACAGAGCCTTGGCCAAGGCCACACCGCAAGTTGAGATTTATCCCAGACCGAACTCACAGCAGGTCTGGAAGCATTGGGAGTCCCACGGGTGTGAGGGGTGTGGGGTGTGGCACCTTGGCTGCCCTGAGCTGCCCTGAGCCCTGGCCCACTCCCCTGGGCAGCTGAAGGTGCTCGAGAAGGAGACAGCTGGCCAAGATGAGGACCACTTCATCACAGTGGACGCTGTGGGCTGCTTTGAGGGCGATGAGGAAGAGGAGGAGGACGACGATGAAGAAGAAGAAGAAATCGAGGTTGATGAGGAATTCTGCAAGCAGGTGCTTGGGGAGGAGGGGGCTCAGGAGGCAGGCTGAAGGCTGGACTCCCAGCCCAGGGCGGGGACCTCTTCCCACCTCCTGGGGGCCAGGAGGCACTGTGTTGGCATTTGTAGGCACTACCACATGGCACAATTTAGTATTAATAAGAACTATATTCTAGATGACGATATGTAAATATATATCACGATGCCTGTAGGGTGGCAGGTGAAATATGTAAGGGCCTCAAAGGTCTGGCTGAAATTCTGACCTGTGTTGAGGAACGGAAAGGCCATCCTAGACCGAGGGGACAGCCTCAATAAGGGGGGGTGTCTATGTGGTGTATACAGTGAAGTCAGTATAAGATGATGATGACGGTGATAGCGAGAGCAGGCGACAGTTTTTGAGCACCTACTGTATGCCAGGCGTGTACCAGGCACTTTCCTGGCAGAGTCTCACCAACTTGGATGCCAGGAAATGTGTCTCCAGAGCCTGTGCTCAGAACGCCCCTGCCTCTCTGCCCACCATGAGCAAGAAGCTGGAGGATTGTGGATTCTTTTCAGTTTAACAAATGCTTCTGGAGCACCCGCTCTGGGCCAGCCCTGCCCCAGCGCCTGACACCAGAGATACGTGGGTACCAAGGCCTGGCCCCTGCCCTCACAGAGCTCACGTGTTACAGTCCACGGTGGTGATGGGGCTGCAGAAAAGGGGGCACAGAGGGACTATGGATGGAGGATTGCAAGGGTGGCCTGCAGCCCTGAGCAGGTTAGGGACGAAGCTGACTTTGGTACTCGGCAGTCAGCGGTGGTGTCCTGGGCCCCTTGGCCTCTCTGAGCCTCAGTTTCTTCTGCTCAGAAGTAATAGCCCCAACTCAGGTTGTGAGGGAGGGCTGCAGCCCAGGGTAGCAAACGGAAGTGGTTGTCCCTCTTAGAAGCCACGTTTGTTTGCTTGGTATGTGGTGGAAGGCACTGCTAAGCATGGTGGGGCTGATGTGTCTGGAGTCAGATGGTCTCACCTGGAAGGGGCTTATGTCCAGCAGGTGAGAGGGGTCCTAGGTGACCTGAAACCCAGAAATGAGGTCACTGCAGCACCAGGTAGGAACTTAGGGACCTGGCAGGGGACTTGGGGCCCACCGAGGTCACCACTCTGTTCCTCCCTAAACCAGCTGTGTGACCCTGGGCGAGTAAGCTAATGTGCCTGAGCCTCAGTTTCCTGTTACGCAAAATGGATGAACCATAGGCTGTGAGGATCAATGAGATGACATGCGTGATGTGTTGTTGGGCGTGCCTGTCGTGTATTATGGCCACTGGGAGGAGGGCTTCCTGGAGGAGGGGACTGATTGAGCTGAGCCTAGAAAGTATGGGTTGGGCAGGGCACTCTGGGAGGCAGATCAGCATGTGTGTGCAGAGGCTCAGAGAATGCCACCCACAGCCTCCTCAAAATCAAGGGGACAGTGTGTTTGAGCATGGGTGGGTTCCAGGCCCCCACCTGCATTCAGGGGATGGGGTCTTGGGGAAGCCAGATCCGAGGCCCACTCTTGCATGTTTCCAGGTGAGGTCCAGAGATATCTCCGTAGAGGAGTGGAAAGGCTCAGAGACCGATAGCGCCAACACTGCATATGGTAAGACCCCCGGCCCTGACCCCAACCTCCAGGTGACTCCCCAAATCCCAGCCATGGCATCCTGGCCAGGCAGCCTATCCCCTTGTCTTCTCTTCTCCCACCTGGAGGGCCGGGGAGCAAATGGGCCCCTAAAGAGAGCGGGACTCCTGGCTGGCGTAGGGGATGTAAAGGTGCAGACCCTGTTGTCCCACAGGTGTGGACTTCCTGGTCCCTGTGATGGGTTACGTCTGCCACATCTGCCACAAGTTCTACCACAGCGACTCGGGGGCGCAGCTCTCTCACTGCAAGTCCTTGGCCCACTTCAAGAACCTGCAGGTGACTCAGACTCTATTCAAGCTGGTGGGGATGGCCAATGGCCACCTCCCTCCTATGCTTGACCTCAGCCTCCAGGCACCCAACAGGGAGGCCCTGCCCACAGCGGGAATCAGAGCTGGGGTGGGGCCGGGCTCTTTCTGCTGTTGTTCTGGGGGGTTGCTGAGGGATAGGCTGTTAGCTCCAGAGCTCTGGCCCTGGGAGGCTGAGCCTATCACACAGGGTCACACAGCATGTCCGATGCTGTCTCGGCTGGGGAAGCAGCTGCTGGCCAGGAGCACGCCAGGTGGGGAGGAAGCCCTGCCTCACCCGCACCCTCTGTGTCCAGAAATACAAGAAGACCAAGCACCCCAACCCCACCACCACCACCACCACCAGGCCCGTGAGCCGCCGGTGTGCGATCACCGCCCGGAACGCCTTGACTGCTCTCTTCACCTCCAGCAGCCGCTCACATATGCCGCCCGGCATCCGGGACACAGCCAAACCTCCCAGCAAGGTGACGGCCCAAGCCCCCCAGCCCCCACCACCCCGGCGCTCAAACCGCCTCAAAACTTGATAGAAGGAGCTCCCTACACCCACCCCGTCTGGGTCCAGATCTGTGCTTTTTAGGAGTCTGCGTGAACTTTGACATGGTTGGTGCTTTTACTCAAAAATCCAATAAAAGGTAGTTTGGCTATCTAGTCCCCACCAGCAATTCTGTCTGGGGAGACAGGAAGGGGAGCGCCCCAGCCAGCTTTCAGCCAGTGCCCAGCCTCTCTAGGCAGAGAGTGAGGGCAGAACCAGAAGGCCTAACCAGGGAACCTGGGGTCACAAGGCACTTCTCCTCTGAGCCTTGGTTCCCCTCTTAAGGTATCAGGGCTAGGAAAGTACCTTCAAGTAAGATCTCATTTAATCTTCATGGTGACTCTAGGAGGGAGGTCTTGTTACCTCCAAATTACAAATGAAGGAACTAAGGCCTGGCAAGGTCAAGTGACTTGCTGAAGGTCATACATCTGGTGCGTGGCTGGGATTTGATGCCAGGCCCTGTGCTAGCGTCTCTCTCCAGCTGGATCCTGTGGAAGCTGAAGTGTAGGAAGCGGGGCTCTCGCTGCTCCCCTGGTTCTGAGTTCATGGTTCACGCCCTTCTCGTCAGCTGACCCTATAATGAGTCATCAGTGCATGGGTCCTAGGCTGAGCTGGATCTTTAGTTCTGCTATCTCCCCCTTTGGAAAGACACTTGCAGAAACAAGCAGACCAACCCTGTTACTGGCCAGCTGGAGATGGGGGCTGAGCAGGAGGGCGGTGCCCCAAGGTTGTACAGCACGCTTTGGTGCTGGTTGTCTTAGTGAAAGGCCCTAGGACCCAGAGAAGCTAAGCACATCACACAGCCTGTCTGATGCTGTCTCAGCCTGGCTGGGGAAGCAGCTGCTGGACAGGAGCACACCAGGTCGGGAGGAAGCCCTGACTTCATCTGCACCAGAAATACAAGAAAGCCAAGAACCCCAAGCCCATGCGTTGCCAGTGTGTGAGCCAATGCCTGGAAGGTCTTGACTGATGTGTTCACTGCTGTCAGCCACAGGGGTCCTCATCCCAGGAGACAGACAGGCGCATTGGTGTTGGAGACCCGTTTAATGTGGACCTTCAAAGCCTGGGCAGAGTGGAGAGTGCCCAGAAACTGGGCAGGCAGGCAAGATAGGTGGGTCGCAGGCCCACACGTGGCCCCAGGAAGGGAGGCTGGGTGGTGGGGGCTGGTCCAGACACGCCAAGGGGAGTACCAGGCAGGCAGACCCACCAGGGGAACCTGTAGGCCAGCCCTTGAGAATGTATGTAAGTCAGGTGGTGAGTGCCCAGACCAGAGCCTGGCCTAGGGAGGCAGGGTTGGGGCCTGGTTGGCAGTCCCTGGAGCCTAGGGGCTGGCATCACTGGGGGCCTCCCTGAGCTGCTGCTGGAACTCTAGGCGTGTCTGGCGGTTGGACTCCAGCAGCTCCTGGAGGCGGGCGTGGAGGTGGTCATTCTTCTCCTCCAGGTGGTCCAGACAGGAGTTGATCTGGTCCAACATGGAGTTGATGGCAGCATATTCTGGAAGGAGGAGGAAAGAGAACCAAGGTCCTGTATCTCCCCAGGGCTCACAGACATCCTCCCCGCAACTGTCATTCCCCAGCCTGCCTCCGAAAGGGCTTTGGCAAGTCCCTACTCCTTCCTGAGCCTCAGTGTCCCCATCTGGAAAACGCGTGGATATCAAAGAAGGAAAGGCTTCGGAGAAATAATACCTTAGCACACCATCTTTTTTCTAGGGTTAGGGTGGTCAGGGGGAGATCAGCCAGTGTCCTGCCTGGGCAGTCCTGCCAGGTGCCAGTCTCCTTTCCACTTCCTCCATCTGCCTGGAGGCCAGAGCTCACATTCCTGTCAAGCAATCAAAGCCTCTGTCCTCGGGTAGGCCCATCTTTCCAGCTCTTCCATGGTCTCTGCCCTCAGGATAAAGCACCGGGTAGATTCCAAAGCCCCACTTCCCTCTCAAGCCCTGCCTCCCTCCCATGCCTTTTCCTTCCCCCTCTCACATCTGCTTTTGCCTACCTCAGGCCCCTTGAACATGCTGTTGCTTCTGCCTGGAATGCAGTGTGCCCTCTTGTCTTCCTTCCCTCCTCCTCTCCTCCTGGATGAGTCCCATTTGTCCTTCAAGTCTCAGCACGGATGTTGCCACAGGGAGCCCTCCCAATGCCCCAGACTGTATCAGGCCTCTATTCCTGATCCCCCTCCTCACACCTCCATGGCCCTCACCTCCGGATTAACTGCTGTGATTATCTGTGTGCTGGTCTGTCTCCCCTACCAGACTATAAAGCTCTGTGAGAGGTGGAATGGTCTTGTGTTCACTGCTGTTTCCCCGAGGCCCTCACTGCTACACAATAAGCATTTGTTGAATGAATGAATGAAGCCTCTAACTTTCCAGCCTTTCTCTTTTTGCTAAATTGTCCCTGCCACCCAGAGGGCCTCAACCACCACAGCCATTTAAGGACCAGCTCAAAACGCCTCTTCTTCCAAGAAGCCTTCCATGGTCTCCACCAGAAACCATCACTTCCTCTTCCACAGCCAATCCCAACCTGCCTCTCTCAGCAACACTGTCCCTTAGGACCCAAGGTCTGGGCCTGTGCCCACTGCGGGACCCAGTTCTGAGCCAGCCTATGACTCAGATACACTCCACTGCCGGCTTAGGACAAAGGGGAAGTGGCTGGCAGTTTTGGAGAAGGCCAGAGCTGGAGGAATGTGTCTGGGATATGGGTGCAAATATGTACGCATTCTGGAGGCAAAGCACCCATCACCCAGAGCTGGCAAACCTCACAGAGGCCAGAGTCCTGGAAGGTCTGCTGGATCTTACAGTCCAACCCCCTGTGGTACAGAGAGGGAAACCAAGGCCAAGGCCCAGGAAGGAAGGGACCTGCCCAGAGTCCTCCAACTGGCTGGTGGCAGAGCCACCAGCTCGGGGAGCAGGGACACTTGGATTTCAGTCCCAGCTCTGCTCCATCTCAGCAAGTTACAGCACCTTTATAGAAACGGAGGATAAAGAACTGGGTGTCTGTGAGAATTCAAACACATCAAGAACTCAGGGTCTGGCCACAGTGTGGTCATCATCAACATTTCACATTCTGTGTCCTGAGACACAGCCAAAAGGATGGGGGAGATGGGTTTCTCCACACCACTGGGGCAGACTTGATTTGCATCAAAGGTACATCTCAGTTCCACGCTTTTGCCTCTCTCCTCCCCACTGTGCTAACTCCTGTGACTCTGCCAGCATCCACTCAATGTGACTCCTGGGAGGCCCTTCCTGATGCTCCCACCACAGCTGCCAGCATGATTACACACATCTGGCCACTGTTCACCAGCAGTGCCCAGGGCAAAGCAGCCAGCCTAACACCCTGTGCGAGGTCTTCTACCTCTATTAAATGCAAACCCTGAGTGATGAAAGTGTTATAAAACTAATGTGGTAATGGATGCACAACTCTGTGGATATTCTAAAACCCAACTAACTGTACAATTTAAGTGGGTGAATTGTATAGTATGTGAATTATAGCTCAATAAAGCTGTCAGCAAAACAAAACAGATTCCATACTTACCCCATATTTACTAAGTCCTGTGCTCTAAGTTAATGCACCAATCTTTATGACACAAAGAGAATAACCACTTAATGAACACTTGCATGCTAGGAACCTACTAAGTATTTTCCATTCGTTTTTTTCATTTAATCCTGACACATCTCAATGCAGGAGACACTAATTATTTTACAGATGGGGAAACTGAGGCTCCAGAGGGTGAGAAGAAAGTTGATGGTTCTCTCTCCAAAGCTCACCTCCCACCTCCCGCAGTGCTGTGCAGAGAACAGGCTGCTTTGTAAGCAAGTCACATTTGCTAGGGCTCCAGGCCACACCAGAAAAGGTGGCGGGGGATGCTGACTCAGCAAGGCGGGCGCGCCCCCCAAGACAGCCCCTTCTGCTGAGCCAGGAAGGTCCACCGGCCCCGCCCCCTAAGGGGCCTCTGTCCACACACGGGCTGAACGAAGTGGTTGGAGCAAATCCCAAAAAGCCGACTGTCCCTGCGGAGGCCTCAGTTTCCCCATCTGTAAAAAGGGGCGGCTGCCCAGTTCTCGAATGCTGCTGCCGTTTCCAGGGACTTACTCGCAGGTGCTCGCCCTGAACCCAGGGACGGCACCTGCAGCCGCAACCCACCCAGGGGCGGGGGATTGAGAGGGCTCTGCAGTCCCTTCCAAGCCCCTATCCCGGCACCTAGTCCCCTTCCCAGGAAGGTACCACTGAGAAAGCAAAGGTCGTTTCAGTAGTCGCCCTGGGTCACCTGCTTCCCCGAAGCCGTCGTCCTCTTCTTCCGCTCCCGCCTCCACCGGTATGCCCAGGTCCCCGTTGGGGCCCGACATTGCGGGCTCCGGCGCCGCAAGGGCAGCGAGATGAAACACTGCGACCGTCACGCCGACAGCCGGAACCCGGCGGAAGGTGGAGGCGGCGGAGAGAACTCGGAGCCGGAAGGGTGGAACCCTGCCGCCGAATGCGGCCTGGAGGCCCGGGGCCCCGCCCTCAAGGCCGGAGTTTGGCGGGCCGAGCTCCGCCCCGCCCCGCCCATAACCAGAACCCCGCCCCCTCCCGCCCTCTGGCCCCTCCCCCCAACCCCGCCCCACATTGCCTGACAGTGGAGCTCTGCTCCGCTCCTAGCCGCCTGGCGAGGCCATACCCGGGCTGCCCGCCGAGAAACCTTGATGGTGGAAGCTCGGGCCCTCAGCAAGGGCAAGCGAGCTGGACAGGGGGCGGAGCAGCCTGGGACCCCCATTCTGTCCTATCCTGCCGCTGGGGACCTGCAGATGGGTGAGCCGACGTCTCCCGGTGGGTGAAAACTGAGTCGTATAGTTTCTAAGGTCCCCTCATGACTTCAGGAAAATTTTCTTTCCGTCATGGCCTGTGTGGCAGAGTGCTGCATGTAGCTGTCGCTCAAGGAAGGCTGCCAGATAAGATCTGGTTCAGCTGCCATCATCCCCCACCTCTTTTACCAGCTGGGAAAGGGAGGCCTGCCCCAAATCGCCCAGCTAGCAAGTGTCTCTCCTGAGCTGGACACAGAGCTGTAATTCCTGCTGGGGGTCTTGTCCCTGCAAGGGGTCCTGCAAGGGGTCCAGCTGAGAGTGAGGCCCATGTCCCAGGGGAAAAGGGCTCACTTACTGGAACTACAGTAGCTTCACCACTAAAAGGCCCCATGTCTGCTGCAGCTTGGTCCTGATCTCACACTGGTTGTTAGTAGGCCATCCTCGGGGTAGAGGGCAGGTACAGTTATGTGCCTTGACTATGATAATGGGGACAGTTCCTCTCTGTCCCAGAAGCTGTCCCACCATTTCACCTGAGGAAGGTGGCGGTGCGGTTGAGTCCTCAACTTGTAATCAGGGCCACCACTGACTTGCATGTGGGCAGTGCCACCTTCTTTTCTCTGAACTAGGTTGAGTGGAGGTGAGACCTCAGCTGAACCATTGCCCCCAAAATTTCGGTGACGAGCTGAAATGTGTGTTGTTTTAAGCTGCCAGTTTGTGGTCACTTATTATAGCAGCAATAGGAAACTAATAAACCAGGTGACCCCGGGAGAAAACAGAGCCCATTTGTGTCCTCAAAGTTTGATCCTGGAAGGCCCAGCAGGCCCAGGTGGTGATGGGAAGCTGCGATGCTTGGGCCAAGGCAGAGAAACTGGCTCTTCTGCCCAAAGTGGAGCCCAAGGGTGGGCGTGCTTGGTGCAGCTTCCACCCCCTCAACTAGTGGGGCTCTGGCCAGTTGCCCCCTGGGTGCTCTTCTTGGTGTGGGGCTTTCTGGCCTTGGGCATGGCCCCATCCCTCACTCAGCCCAGGCTGCACCGAGCTGGTCTCTCCCTGGAGTCTGGCCCAGACTTCTGAGGCTGCAGGAGCATCTGGTTGGGCCGGAGTCTCAGGCCTGTCTTGCTTTTTGGGGGCTGAGACTGGGACTGTTCGCAGCCCCAGTATCACCCCACTCCTCTGGCCAAGGACGAATGGGGTATGTGTGCAAGTCTGTGGGGTGGACAAGCCTGGGTTTCTTCAGAAGCTCGCCCCTCTGGCCTGTGACTTTGCAAGGGGAGAAGAGGCCAGAGAGGGAGTTCCTGTGAGTGATGCAGACAAAGAGGGACCACAGCTGTGGCCTGTGGGTAGAAAGGGGCTTGTCAGGCCCCAGACACAGACCTAGCCAAGTGGTGGTGCAGGCCTGGAGCTCTCAAGCCTTTTGGAATCTGGATTCCTGGCAGCATATTCCCCTCTTCGCCTCCCCCAACCCTGCCCCTGGTAGTACAGAGGTCATCATAGGAAGGAGGTGTAGTGACTCT